TGGGGGCAAGTTAGGACTGGTTGTCGAATCCCCTCTCTGATGATTCTATTCTTTATGCCTTGCAACATTTCTAGATGGGACAAGCGAGTAGTAGTAGCGGTAGCAGTAGTAATAGGCCCCTAGCCGTAGTAGTAGAAAACACGGAACTACTTTTGACTAAGATGCATTGCAGTGTGAAAGAAGCTTCTTCTTCAGCTCTGCTTGTTGAGCTGTCACTAGAGGACTCTTACCTGCAATAGTCGAAGCAGTTACAAGGCGCTATATGTAGACGTGCTCACGCCCCACCCCCCCTGAACTAGGATCTCCTATAGAGATCTAGTGTTCTGTTGGTTGGGCGATACGCCGAGAAGCTGTGAAATTATAGGAATCTCTGAATTTCTCAGACGGGTTTCTACGTGTTGCTTTCACTCGGCTCGTCTGCTGAGCGAGCAAGCATATATATAACAGTGGGTAGGAATTTCGCTTAGTTGTAGGGTAGCTGGTCATTAGGTGACGGCACAGACGATTTTCTAGCGGTTTGTGGCCTCGTTTCCTCTAAGAGGAAAATTTACGATTTTTGCTGGTAATTTAAAATTATCCGTAGTACTCAAAAGTGAGCCGCCTCATCACTGCCCTCTGGTGGCAGCCGTGTGCAGCTCGGCGCGTTCTCGCGTTGCACTGTCGAGGTGTTTGTAAGTTGTGTTTTTTGTTCTGTGTGAGTTTGCATCCATGGTTTTAGGTTGTCTTTGCGTGCGTTTATTACTAGCGTGTTCACACTCGGCGTGGTCATGCAAATCTTACAGGGATTCATTGTGTCCACGATCGCATGCATCCTGGGCATTACACCTTAGACACGACTAGCTGCACGTGGTTACTTTTAGACTCATTAAAGACCAGCTGAGTAGATGTTGATACATTCCAACTATCAACATCACCTAGGTAGATGTTGATACATTCCAACTATCAAGACCAGCTGAGTAGATGTTGATATATTCCAACTATCAAGACCAGCTGAGTAGATGTCTCCTCGCGACATGATTGCGTGGGTGCGATGCGTCTGTGAGGAACATGACGTCATCCATGTGACTTCTGCTCTACAAAACACTGAAAATGGCCGACCTTCCGATATCTGACACTAAGAGGTGGGCATTTCTCCATCTGCCTGCACGTGTGCTGAACAACGACGTGACAGAACATTCAACGAATCAGGAATAGCAGAAGATTGAAGATCCAAGTTCCGTCTTCGTTACGCGTATGCGAGTGATCCGTGGTGTTCAACTGTACGTGTGTGGTTCTGCTATGCCCCCCACAAATTCTTGTCCCTTTCTAAGACATCCAGAGTCGAAAATGGATATATTCTATTATGTATCATTGTAATCATCGAAAAAACATTTGCTCCCAAAAACAATGTTTCCGTATCCCTTACCATCATGGGAAGTTGAATATATTGGGTGAATATGTAGTGGGTACCGTCAGCGATACTGTGAGTGGATGTGTGGCATGTAGGTGCATGGATATTCCGTTTGCTTATAGATGTATCTGTTTCATTCGCAAAAATTCACAGTTATGCATGAGGCCCCCCATTATTGTTTGATGATGGATGCCCCACTGTACGTATACATGCACCACAAACCAACTTAATTCGGTAATTAATTAGTTTAATCAAATTAATTACTGTCCGTATAGTAGATTTATATTCACATAAACGAATATTTATATTTAAATGTCGTACTGTATAATTCCATATATTTTATTCAGCAACTCCATACAGAATTTCTACTAACATGATTATCGTTTGACAATCACTAACTTACTTTCGTTACTAATTGTTACCGTGTGTGGAATCGTTTGCTGAATTTAAACCCATGCTCTTTCTCTCTCTCTCTCTCTCTCTCTCTGCAGAAGAAAATCATGATCATTATATGTCTTTGCATCCTGGCATTTGTGATCGCGGCGACGTTCGGCGGGATCTTCGGCTAAGCGTCTGCTGAAGCAAGATGGCGCACCGACGCCGCCGAGGCCGCGGCCGTGGCACACGCGCACCAACACTAACACCGACGCGACAACGGCCGGAACGCTTCTTACGGATTTTTGCA